TATATAGATAGTTTATTTAAATATGGTATTAGTATTAGTGCTGAGTCGTGAATTTCTTGGTTTAGAGAAGAAGGAAGGGAGGGGGGTGGTTAAGAGGGGGTTGTGATTTGTGATTTGTGATTTGTGATTTGTTTCTTTAACTTTTGGTCTGATTGTTTTGTTTTGTTTTGTTCTTGGGTGTGAGTGATGGATGAGATGGATGAGATGGGGCGTGGATTTGTATATTGAGAAATCATTGTATGAAGGTTCGTGGCAGGGGGGGGGGGGTGAGCGTGTGGTATAGGGTAGGTTGAAGGGTTGTGTGATTTATATAGTGTATTGATATTGATGTTGATGTTTAATAATAACTATTTAGATATACAGATATTGGAGAGAGCAGGGAAGGCGTATCTCCACCAGCGGGTGTACAAACTAACAGGATACTACAAAAATGAACGTGCGAATGTTTTTTGATATATCGACTCTTATAATTCAAAAATCATTTCAGTTATTCACTTGAGATAAAACAATCAAATTATGAAATTGTTAAAAATTTCAATATTTGGAAAGTGTTCCGTTGATTTATGTACTCATTAGTACTCGCTCTCTGTGCTTATTTATTAAAGAAAATGAATAAAAAGAGAAGACAGAGAAAATGAAAAGGATTCAAGAATTCTAATCTTACAAGCGAGATTCCGGCTATATAGAGTTGTACCTCGTTCCCTTTCTTCCCCAATATCTGGAAATCTTTAGCTCTTAGTATTGATGTAATGATTTACATGTATTACTTTAAAGAGTCTTTTTGTAAGCTTGCAATCTTGCGGTTACTCTGTTCACTTCCCCGTGCGTTGCGTAGTAATTTTGTATATGGATGGATGTATCTTTTCTATAATTGTGTCTTCTCGAGACTAATAATGGAGATGTTAATGATATAAGAGTTGAGGCCCAGGCTTATCGCACACTACTTTTTTTTGTAATAAAATTCTTACAAAAAAGTCGTTTTCTTATATAAACTTATTTTTTTTGTAATTTATTTAATATTTTAAAAATTGATTTAAAAATCTCTTATATAAGAAATTATTATATTTGAAATCTTAAAAAGTAAATAAATTTTTTTAATTTTTTTTTCATAAAATTATGAATTTTCGAGATTGGAAATTTTTAAAATTTATATACTTTTTCTATATGAAAAAAAATCCATTTTTTTGGAAATTTTTTAAAATTCTAATTTTGAAAATCTACAACTATATTAAAAAAGTACTAAAAAAATTTTTAGTTTTTTTTTAAAATAATTTCAATAATTAATTATAATATATATCAATTTTAATAATTTAATTTTTATATTTATTAAAATAATATATAATTCAAAAGTTAAAGAAACAAAAAATTTTGATACATTTTACAATTAGTATACAATAAGCCGGGGCCTAAACTCTTACTTTTTTTGTAGAATAATACTATTGTCTTTGATTGGAAACTTTGGTGTTACATAGCCGCTTGATAAAGTGAAGATGATTCATGGTGAGAACTTTGACTTTGTGAACGGAGATGTGTGGATGATGGTAGTGAGCGTGAGTGTGAGTTTGAGAATCGTAATGGATGCGATTCTGAAGATATTGATCATAGGGAGTGTGTCATAGAGGACTATGGTATCTTGTTATTCAAAGATTTCACAGAATATAAGGGAAGATGCCCTGTGGTGGCAAAGTTAATACCTATATACGAAAAAAATGTCAGTATAAATCCCCATACTAATATTTGATATGTACATTACAAAATTCAAACTTTTTTTGTCCCTGACGAAATACATATTTCATCAGCTACGAATCTTTCCTGTTCAAAATGAGAACCGTTTATTATTGACATTTTCAAAAAATTGAAAGAAAATAAAGGCCTTTAGGAAAGGTGGACGGGAAGGGAGCGAGCGTAGAAGCTAGGAGGAGGAGGGGAATGAGCGGGGGAATTAGGAGGGGAAGGGGAGCGAGTGGGGGAGCGAGTGTAGAAGCTAAAGGATAGGAAAAGGTATTAGCCGAAAGTCTAAAGGGGGGTCTGTTTACAGATCACTCAGATCATTTATTTCACTTTCGATTTATTCTTTAATCCAGAGCTTTACCATTGTGCTATATAGTATAGAATGTATTGTTTAAATAGGAATATTATTTAACTTTAATATATATAGTTTTATATTGAATTCGATTACTAATCGAATTCAATATAAATAAACTTTTTTACTTGCAAATAGTTTTAGGCTAAAACTTTCGAAATCCAAGAAATTTCGAAAAATCAATAAATCTCGAAAATTTTTCTAAGTCCCTTTAAAATAAAATTTTCTAATTATATATATATAAAAAAGTTAATCATATTAATACTGTATGATTGACCTTTTCAATATAATATTAACTATTGAAATTTTTCATACAATTGATGAAATAATTTATTCGTTAACCACGGATTCTGTTACCACAGGGATGTACTCATGATGAGTTAGTTTGTACAGGCTAATTTTCGGAAGGGGTTGAGTGTGGAAATGCTATTCATTTGTGGGTCTGTTTAGACTTCATACGAGAGGGTTTTCCTTTGTAGAATAATGTGAATCTTCAAATAGTTTTGAGTCATTGACGATTGAGATTTTCCCTAGGTGTGCGTTCCGGGTATTTGGATTGACGGAACGCACAATCGATTCAACGGTTTAGAGGATTATGAAGCTATTGCTGTGCTTTTGACAGGGAGATAATACCCGATAAATAATAACTTGTCAAAATGAGATAGTCTCAACGTGCAGCATTCATGCAGCCCGGATAGTCGTGCATACGGATGTGCACTAATTGACCAACCTCTTCCTGGTGACAATTTGTGGTTTTCTCGGGGCTCTTGTGTGATTCTATACTAATGGGGGTACTTGAATGATGGATTATAGATAGAGGCTCTATTGATATTGTTGAGATTTGTAATCTCATTGTTTGAGTTTGACTCGCCAATCGAATGTTAAGGTCAATTACATTGATTGAGCATAAACGCTATTAATTTTGAAGTTCTTTTGAGATATTGATATATCGCCAAATGTCATAGCGGTACTTTTCGCCTTCCTTTCCTAGTACCAAATGAATGAGGATGATATCATATGGACTGGACAGAGTTTTGAAGTGTATCGTTCAGCGGAGTCTTGCAAGAGAGAAAAAATCTTCGATTGGCCGACTCGGTTAGCTAGAACTTGTCGCCAACTAGTAGTGGGCAGAGATCCGTGTTACCATCATGGATTCAATTTTTGAACTAAATCATAATATCCAATATCAGAAGTTAAAATGAACATTTTCATCGATTCATAGCCTGAGGAATTTACATCTACAATATCCCCAAAATAATCTCCCAGAACATTCACCTCCTCGATCTCTCTGGACCTTTCGGTACGTACCGAGCGCACGGACATATTCTCGAACCCTTCTAGAACTTTGCGTCATCACCAACCCCTGAATAGGTAGATCTCTACCATTGTTTGGCCCGTTGTACAGAGATTGCGGGGGATTTCAATCATTCCTATTCGCTTGACATATCAAACGCGACACTTGTAAGTTTATAGGTTGCGCGTCTAATTGGTATGTTGGGGTAGCGTTGATAGGAGAGTTTCATTGGTAGTGATTTTACGCTGACTTGAGGTCTTACATGTTCTTCTTACTTTGATCCCGTGACCATTTTCCATGAGTTCATTGTTTGGTGAGCGTGAGGAGACGTCTATTGCCATTCAAAATTATGCCTATGACTCGGAAGGTTGTAGACATAACCGCAAAAATCATCTTTGTCGTATTGCCGCTGACTAATACTGCCTGGTGAGTAGATGGTATAGTAATTGACCAGAGCAGCTTGTTGAGCACATATTTATGTAAATGAGTCCTTCAGATTCCATCGAAACACCCACGTATTATATCATAGAAAGTCCTCTCTTATAACATCTCCGAGTCTCTAGTTCAATTTGTCTTAGAAAGTGGTTAGTTTCACGTGACCATCAAAAGTGGCTGACTACAAGCCACACATGGCTTGACGTCGCTAGAGCCTGACGTCGCTTTATCTTTTCGCCTCATTTCTTTTTGACACCTCAACATTTCTCTTTCGCGACAACACGACAGTCCGCAAAGATAATCTCTAGGAACGTCACGAACCACAGCCGAACCTCGAATCTGGTATTTGAGTATTCACCAGCTTGATCAGGACATTGTCAAAGATCATTTGAAATCGATACGCGACGAGACGACATGCGATGCAGGCCATCTCATTCTCGCAAAATTGGCTACTTTTATCTCCGTTTTTCGAGATTTCATCCATGCTCGAATGGTAGCCTGATGGAACTTCAACTGTCAAATGCGAAGTCGCTGCCTTGCGAATTCATCGTTATTCTACTCGACCGCGATCTGTTCACACCATCCTCGACATTTTCACAGCGCTCTTATGTGTATCGATCTAGGATAATCGATCGAAGCAAAACGAGTGTAATGCTCACAAAAGAGTATGCAGGGTGAAGTTTAATCTCACAAGAAGGATTAGATAGACGACTAAGATGCGCGGCAGTTTGGACAATGACCTCTGAGTTGATGGTTTAGAAGCACGCCCGGCGCATATATCGACATGACTTCACTCTTCTTGCAAGTTGGAATTTCACGGTGATTTTAATCGATTCAGGCATAATACTATTTGAGTTGCACTCGAGGTTCGTTACACTGCTGACCAGCTTCAGTCAAGATTTCCGGTACAGTCACGTGGTAACGTGATGGGATGGCTTGTTTTTAAACACAGTCACGTGTGGATCTCCGGCCTCGACATTTCACCCCGCCCTCAATGAGACCACGGATTCAACTCTTTATACACCAAATATCCAGTCAATTTCGCTATATCCTGCATAATTCGAACCCAGCAATCTCATCTCTACACTTGCGCCGTTTATATATGCCAACTCCGAACCAAAATCTGTATGCCGCTTGTCAACTTCTCGTCCTCCTCGTCTTCCTCCTGTGCCTTTTCCACCTGTTTTCTTATCGTTGCGCATGCCAGCGGCGTATTGAATGGAATTCCTCCATTACCATGTATTCTCGGGGGGGTTGGTATACATGTTGCTCGAGGTCATCTAGTATAAGAAATAGTTAGTATGGTTTCCAATGAAGCGGTCTTCCGAACTCATGAAATGTAGCAAGCTGTAAGCTTCTCCGGAAACATTTCCGGAAAATAAAAATCATTTTTCTGAATGACCCAGAAGATTGCGCTCTCAAAAACATATAAATATAACCTACGTGATGTGTTGTGTGTTGAGGAACGGTGGCTCAAAATAATAGCTGTGATGGTAGGTATGATGATTGATGCAATTCCGAACACTATAGCGAGAGTATTATCCAGAACTAGTAGAAATGATCAGTACAGAAATTAAAGAAATATTACTTGAGAGAAACAACTTACTCATACTTGAACTTGAGAATAACAATAATTAGATTTTTCGTACGATGATTCAAGAATTGAAGTGTCACCGCGGAAGGGAGAAATGAGCGATGAGGGTGTGCTTGAATGTGTTTCTGCGTTAGATGTGGTTGTTATCATTCTGCCTACTCTCGAGCCAATCTCTTGCTTCAACTTAGATCCACCAAAGGCGGTGTAAGGCGGTGTAAGGGTCACCCACACCCACCAGGTTCGCAGATACGCATGAAAAAAACAGTCGGGATTTGACCATTTCAATAACATCTTTTACGATTCGATTCGGTTACTCCTTTGAAACATCATATAAATAAACTTCAAAATATTTTTCAAATAACAAAATGCGAGGTTTTCTTTTGATCTTGTTGAATCTATATAATTCATTTGTAATTGATTTTTTATTCAATCAAGTTACAAGATTTCCATAGAGATCTGAACGATCAAGTTCCGTCTAACAACTTACGGGTTACTCAGCTGGACCAGATCTCGGACTCTAGACTCGGCCGAGTACCATCCCCACATTTATAGCTTTACGACCTATGATGTTGCTACCAGCAAACCAGCAATCCGTTCAATTGACACCCTCAACATCGAAGCTAATCCAGATTTTGATTTGGTTGTTCTTCGCTTGAACTTCCGCTAATCTAGGTAATCAGTAAAGTCGTAATGCTTCTCAACATCTGAATGGCCAGCAGAGAGATGGCAATTGTGAAATCGTAATTCCCAAGTCGCGATTCCAAACTTTGGTTTAAAGCTCGGCCTTTGCTTTATACTAGTACAGTCCGGGGAGCTGATCCACGGCTAGCTTCAGCCCTGCCAATGAGGTTGCGCACAGACATATCTAGACTGGTAGAATACAGTATTCTTTCGAAAAATTCGAAAAAGCCTAGCAAAAGATTAACAATTTAAGCTCATCGTGGGTTACGGTTGCAGTGACCACCGGAGTTGTTTGATTCGTTATTTCAAGGGATTATTCATCAAATGCCTAGTATTTCAGTTGAATCCTTCTATTTTGAAGCGTTCTACTGCCTTTAGAGGAAAGCTAATTAGCCCTAAAAGTAATGATACTGGCGAAGCCCTTTTTTCATCCCATTTTCTTCATTCTTCCATTATTGCTCCCCATTACCACTCGTTCTTCTATTATAAGTCTTTTCTGTTATAAGTTTTCTCTATTAGATTTCCTCAAATTTTCATCTCAGTACTACTCCTCTCTCACCCCTACATCAATTCATCATTCTATCTCAATCTTATGTTCTCTCAACACTGCTTCTCTTCCCCTCCCATTCTAGTATTCCCGCACTCGCTTAATTTTTAAGGGTTAGTAGACTCTCTTTCAACAACATAAATGGCTATTCAGGATACATTTCCTTTTAACTCCAATTGAATTAGATAAAGAAAACGTTGAGGAAAGAACAATGAATAGACTGAAGTGTGTATGCATACTCAAAATGCTACTCGTTGGTTTTCGTGATTCAGAATTTATGTTTGGTTTATTAGCCCGATGGTAGTAATCAGTTGTACAGGTATGATTTTATTACATATCTATGGGAAGATAACCCGTAGCGGTATATAAGATATGTACCTGCAACTATTACTCGGATGGAATTTGTTAACTTGGGCTGAAAACAGGGTCAGGAAATAGAAACTTTTAAAGTGAGGGATTTTAGTCGAATTTGGCATTTAGCACATGTAATCACGTGGCAAGTTATATGATTGAAATTTTATTGGTATTGATTTATGTGTTTTATATTTTATTCAATGTGAATACGGAAATCGTTATTGAAAGAAAGATACGAGATGAACGAGATGAAGATAGAACCAGCTATCGTATGAAGCGAAAAGAATGAAATAGGGTGATAGTTTTACGAGTTAGTGAATCGATAAGTTATTCATCATCCTCCGTTCGATCGCACGCTCACCAGCATCAGAACCATCAGAGTCTTCTGCTCCCTCAGCCTCCTCAACTTCCTCTAATACCCGCGCTGTCACAACATCCCACGCCATCTTCAACGCTCTCGCAGCAGCATAGTATCTCGACTGAGCGAGATCATATGCGTGATCCTTCTCTTGTCTCTTGTGCAACAAATCACGAAGAGCATTCTCGCGTATGAGACGTGTTCTTTGATGTTGACGAAGTGAATACTGATAGTCTCTGAAATCTTGTTCCTCGATATTCGCAGCGGATTCAAACAATCGATCTTGAAATGTACGGAGATCTTCCAGAGGAACGAATACGCGAGTGTCGATGGCTTCTGTTGCTGTGCGCACACTTCTATCGGCGAGCGTGAATTCCTCTCTGGCGGTTACGAGAGCTTCACGTGCGTCTACAAACGCGAGTTGCAGTCGTACCATGTCTGGAGGGGTGGTCGCTTCAGGACGAGGAATAACTGGGCGGATACACCTGTTTAGGATCGTTAGCCATTCTGGGAAAGGTCCATCTATTTCTAGGCGGGTGGGGATTTGTGGGAGTTCCGTTTCTCGAAGCAATTTTCTGCACATAGGGCAGTCGCCGCGAGCAGAAGACACAAACCAACGCTCCAAACAACCTTCATGAAACATATGGTTGCAGATTGTCTTTACTACAGCACGATTTATTTCTCCTTCATCATGGTGATTTAAAGGGTTTCGGCAAATACCGCAATCGTCCATGACTGCTTGCAGGTCTTCCAGACGAGTGAAATGTGTTGAATTGTTGAAGTTTGTAAATACTCTATAGCCCATCGCGATTCGCCAGTCATCGTCGTCCAAAGTCTGAGAAGCATCTGCCAGAGCATAATTTAAGACTAGAATTTGACGAATATTTAGGGTCTGTATTCTGTCAGCAAGTGGTACATTCTCACCGTCAATGATACGCGCCTGGAAAGCGGGCACCAAATGATGGTGAACAATCTCATCAAGTACTCCCAAAGCACTCTGATTAAGTAAATCAAATACCACTGTCTTTGTCGAGTAGAAGTGGGCATATTGATTAAGAAGGTTGGGGAGGGGTAAGCTATGGAGGCGAGCTTGTAAGTCTTGTGTTTCAGCTACCAGATTCCAGTCCTGGTAACGCAATACATCATTTTCTGTCATTGCCTCCTCGGGTTGATAACTAGGGGCTTGTCTAAAGTCAGGAAGCATCCAACAATCACGGCACACTTCGGCTCTTAGATAGCAGGTGTGGACTGACATCATATTGCAGCGAATGCCATCACGCCCGCATGGACGAACGTATGATTCTTCGTGGACACACCCAAAATGATTGAGAGTAAGGGTGAGACACATCTTTTAAATGTGAGTGAGTGGTTTCTAGTACTGATCGTTGAAATAGTTCAGCAAGTTGTTAAAGTAGATGAAGGTTTAGAGATGACTGAAGGTTGAATAACCAGAATCCAGAAAGAACATCCGATTATTTATCAACCCCTCAATGACATTGTTCACGATCTGAATAACAGGCTAATAACGATTTCTAGGATGTTTCCTTAATTGAAAAGCATCCTGAACAATGTGGCCTTAAGAACATCATTGTACTCCCGAGCCACGTAATTACAATAAAGACATTCCCATCTATAACAAGACCATTGTCCAAGCCAAGAATTACAACAAAGCAATCTCCGCAAATCTCGCTATATATATATATATATCAAATTCATACAATCCGACCACAACAGAACAACGCCTTTGTTCTACTAAGAACAAAGTTCTACTAAGAACAAAGACACCCATCAGAATCCAGATACCAATAGAGTCAACATGAACTACGCCTACAACAACAACCATCAAAAAAATCCGGTAGAACGACCTCGACACCTAAAAGTTACGGAGAAGCAAGTAATCACAAGAATAAATAACGCGGCACTTGCCACCTTAAAACATCGCCAGCCTTTCTCGATAAGTTGCAAACATTTAATCACTCAAGCAATGGCAATCACATCAATTCAGGGAAGACTTGACTCTTGTAGTAGAAAAGTATGATACAATTCTTTCAATCTTCAACTTCCTTTCTTCTTTCAAGCCTTCCTTCACCCCTACCTACGACCCTCCGAAAGGGCCTTCATTCAAAGAGATGATTATAATTTACAATAATTCATTTTACACGTCGTCCTCGCGCCTGAATGTTTGGGTCCCGCTGTAATTGCTCTTCCAGGCCATTGTATAGTGGCCATTCATCACTAGAGCAATTCTAGCGTAGTGATATAACGCAATCGACAAATTGTGTGATCAAAAAGAGTAAAGAATTTTACTATCCATCGACTTATCTGTGATGAGAAACTATGCCGGAAAAAAGAACGCCAACCCAATGCAAATGCTAAGATTCTGTTCCTATCGTAACCGATTCGTCTTCCAGTTTTATCGTATCATCATGTTTTGCTGTGGGGTTGACAGCTTTTTTTGTTGTAGTTTTTGTAGGAATACTCAACTATGGTGTGAGTAGTGGGATTGAGGCAATAAAGCCATCTGTTATTGAAAGGCCATTGAATGATTGGAGTTAATAATAGGTCGATAACTAATGGGTATCTTTGAAAGAGATGATTCGAAACGCAACGCGAAAACAAAAAGGGCGATGTAATTTGAAGGAGATCCATTGTGGCCAAGATTTCGAGTACAGTCGTTACAAATCAGCCCATCATGCTGGCCTCGTCATCGTCGTCGTCATCTCCTTGCTCTAGACTTTCGATCGCTTCTTTGATTTGTTGACTTGCCTGTTTTTAATTAGTGATGGGTTTTTTGATCAATATCATTTGCATATATACCTTTGGATCTAGGTTCAAAGCAATGGTAAAATGCCTAACCGAAGCGCCCTTTTGTTTCATACTCTTGTATAGTCTTCCCAATAAGAAGTGAACCATTGCCTCGTCAGGAGCCAAGTCTTTCAAGATCTTCAATTCATCTAAGGCATCCTCCAATCTCCCCATCGTCATCAAGCAGCGGGCTTTCTTGAAACGAGTCAACGCTGATTTTGGATCCAGGTCAATTGCCTTCTTGAAGTATGAAAGTGCTAGACCTTTGTTTCCTTTCTTATCGACAACACTTCCCATAAGACCCAAAAGCACCGCATTTGTTGGGTTGATTTTGGAGGCGGCTTCGAAGTGTATGAATGCTTTGTCGTAATTACCCATCTTTTCATACACTTTGCCAACTCCGTAGTAAGCATTGTAGTGTCTCCTATCAACAGCCATTGCATGTCTGTATGAAGTAAGTGCTTTATCATATTCTTCATTCATTACATGCTCATGGCCTTGAAGTGTGAAAGCATAAGCAAACTTAGGATTTAATTGTGTGGCACGTTTAAAACACCGTAAAGCTTGTTCGTGATCTCGCATGAGCGACCAGGAATTTCCAAGTGCACACCAAGCTTCTGGCGATTGCCACGAAGAATCCACCAACTCATGGGCTAGGAAAGCCAGATCAGTTTCTTTCTTCAGATGCCACAGCACAGTAGAATAGATCTCCATGTCCTCAAAGCGTGTTGGTGCTATCTGTCGAATTCGTTTATATAAGGATTCGGCTTCGGTATATGACGCTTGTTCGTAATGAGCACGACCCATTTGTGACAACACCCAAGGAGTGTCTTGCTGTTGGGTAGATAGTGTAGAGAACGCCTCTAAGGCCTGATGAGATTGAAATCTTGCAAGTAAAAAATAACCAGTCCCAAACTTCTTGAACAGATCGAGAAGCCATCTTAAAGCTTCCTCTCGGGTTCCAGAATCCGATTCTGATGATCTAGTACCAAAAGATTTTGTGGATACCCGGGGTCTTATCTCTCCTTCCCTATGGTCTAATTCCATAGAATCTTCAACTGGTTTTCGATTACCACTGACCTGTCTGCCAGCCGTGGAGGACCCAGCCGGACGCATCATTTTTGATATCGGAGGTCTAGCTTTCTTTAATTCCCTCCCAGGGGCAGGCCCCACAGTCGCAAGATTACTGGAAGATTTGGTGCTTGTCGGTCGGAATTGGTTGATCAATCTGACACTTCTTCTCTGAGGTGCTCCTGGATCTTCCGAAGGTTGTCGGGGTACTACCTGTCCGGATACCGTTCGTTTTCTATCCCCACCTGGTACCGTAACAGAGTTGTGGCGAGAATTATGTCCCGCGCTACTGTCTTCCGAGATTTCAGCAGCTGCTTTTTGAAGTCGTTTCGAAGTCATGGATCGGCCCATCTTGGGAACATCCATACTAAAGTCCATACCAAGGCCCTGTAAAGTTCGATTTCTACGAACGGGGGCCTGTGGGGGCTCCATGTTGATGGGAAATGCAGATGCCACACTGGTGTCTTTTCGACTAGGTGCAATGCTATAATCGAGCGGGGCGCTAGGTCCAGTAGGCGTTTCTATTGTATCAGAACTAATGCTGACACCTCCGGTCGCGGGGAGGTTCGTAAGACTCGGGTTGCTTTCGGCGAGCTTCGATGATGCAGAAGTCGCAAGTGACCCAAAAAGTCCACCCGCAAATGATCGAGACGAAGAATTGTTATTGAAAGGATCCGTAGGGTCACTCTGGTAAGATCGTGCGCTAGGGCGGGTTGGCCTAGGTTCCTCCACTGACAATGTTTCCATTGGCCCCTCCCGATCTTGTGTATTCGATTTCAGTATTGCCTCCATCTCCAAACTCATCCTAAAGGTACTCGAGGCTCTAACACTTGTCCCCATATCACAGAGATTAGTAAATGCATCCCACATGAATGGATTCAATTTCAGCGCTTCTTCAAAATAACCAATCGATTGCTTTTTGTCATCAAAAGCACGGTAGAGCTTCCCCAGTAAACAACAAACCGCAGATGCGTCAGGGTCAGGATGTCGTGAGTATTGTGTATGTTTACCAAACGAGTTCTGTGCTCCCCAGCAACCTCTGTTCTTTTCTAATGCCAAGATCCCTTCCTTAAGCTTTCCCAATGCAAGACATGCTTGCGCGTAGATGTATGCACAGCCAAGATGCCCCGATCTAGTGTTTGGGCTCTTCACAACCTCAAAAGCGGAAGCATAATCGCCAAGTCGCAAATAGCATAAGGAAAGAAGGTAAGAGGATTCGGGACCTTTCGGGGTGTATGCATGCAATCGTTCTGCGAAGAACAGGGCGTTCTTGAGGAGGTTATTATCAATGTGGTAGTAGATGAGTTGACAAAGTTGATTCGTGATACAAGGATTGATTGATTCCTTCCTAGAGGAGGGCATTGTGTAGGATGGTGAAAAGAGGAAGTAGATCCAAATCGCGAATTTTGTGTTTGTTATGATGTTCTCGCCATGAAGTCAACAGAGCTTCCGATTTCGATTTTTGATTATAGTCGAACTGATTTGGTCAAAAAGGTATCTATCCTTAGTTATTCCCCTTGAACTTCGAACAAGAACGAACAAGAATCAACAATAGGTCTCTTGCGCGTGGCGTTGTTTGGTCTGGTCGATCTGATAAATGTAAATTTTTTGTAGCTCCACGGCAGCTATCCTAGGATCGATGGGATTAATATTATCCGGTTGTATTGTTGTCGAAAGTAGTAGGTAAAAGGAAGCAAATAGGAACTTCGTGAATACAATCGCAAGGTCGTAAAAAAAACAGAGTTGTTGGCGTTGCTGGTTACTATTTATCATGTAACTATGAAGGTGGAAAGACAAGGCAAGGTAGGCAGAAAACGGTTGTTGCCTGTATGGATCAAGAAGCAAAGGCTGAAATGGGACTCTGAGGACCGTGGATAGGTATCGAAGTGAATTTGCTTTGGAAGGAGGAAAGGTCGGATGAAGTTATAGTAAAGAATAAAGAAGACCAGACCAAAGGAAAGGGGAAGGCTGTATACGGCGCAAATGCAAATGTGAATGTGATGAATCCAAAATCCAATACAAACGATTTTGTATGGCTATAGTCGAATATTCCTTGCTATTAATTCGGGATAACATCAAAACCTTGCTCATCCTCGAACCTCTTCGATTTTTGTTCTGTTGTTTGTCTGATCGCGGTGGGAATGATTGGTTGCAGACCATCCACCCAGCAACAATCAGTCAATTGGGGGAACTTTGTATTAGTCAGCGAGGTACACAGCAGCACTTCAGCTTCTGAAATGTTCCTTGCAGACTCTCAGCCTTGTCAAGAAGCTCAATTACCCAGTCCAGCCAGCCAGCCAGCCAGCCAGTACACCACAAGCGACACGACTGAACTTTACAAAAACCAACATTATATGGCAATTCTTTAATCAGATTGATTCCTTCAAGAAGTAGAGCTTAAGGATTCTATTACTCAAAAGGTATTTCTCCATTGTTCAATCTGCAACATTATATCGAATTAATCTTGTTTCCCAGCTATCTAGAAAAGGCCAGATCCTACACACATCTACTTCTTCAAATTCGACATCATCTTTCCACCTCATACACAATGGCTCAAAAAGCGAAGAAAGACAGAGCAAAGGCCAATATCCAAGCACTAAACTACCTTCATTATGGCACATTTCTTGCAAATGCTATGTTCTGCCTCTTCCACTTCTTGATACGATCAAGGAATATGTGGGCATACGTACTTTTCTCACTTGCACCCTGGGTTATTGAATGGTTCCTTGAACAGAACAGTCGTCCCAAGTTCGATCAAGCTGGCAAGATGGTGTCAGCAGGAGAAGACCTTGCAGCACCAGGATTGACAGAATATATGTTTGATATTATATGGATGCATTGGTTATCGTTGGTTGTTGTCATTATATTTGGCAACTGGGGCTGGCTTGTCTTCTCCGTTGTGCCTATATATGGACTTTACAAAGTTTTTGGTCTGTGGTCAGGAGCAAAGGGTATGATGGGTGGTGGTCAGAGAGCACAAGCACCCGAAGAACAAATGCCAATGGCAGGCAATAGAAGGCAGAGGAGACAGTAAACTCGCTTGTCTGTTTATGTTTGACGGTATATTGTATATGGTTTCAATCGAGGTAATACAAGATAGAGCTTTGATATACTAGGTGGTGTGAGCAATGTATATATGAGATACATTCCTGTGCATATCCATTGTTCTAGACCTTGTTCCCTGTCCAGAACTCAATATCATCCTTCTGGACATCTTTGATCAAGACATGGATATGCTCAAGGGCTCTGACACTCTGCAATGCGACCCAATTCTTAAACCACATCACTCTATCAGTGCCTTCCAACCTATCAGCAAATGTTCTCTTCACGAAATCTTCAATTATTTTCCGGCTCTCATCCGTCACATCTCCATTCCCATCGTCGGTGGCGATCGGTGTTTTTGACCACACCACAAAATGGGTAACATCTTTCGAGAGACCATATGGCCAATCATTTAGCAAAATTTTGTAATCCGAGGGGTTCTCAAATGGGATTGAAGAGATGTAGCTGAATGGTGGCGAGCCCCAGGGAAGTCGATGTTGGAGGATATAATTCATCATACTTCCGTACTCGGCTTTAATAGTTGTGGACCAAGACATATATCGACGAAGGTCAGAGGGCTTTCGTTTGAGGATTGAGAGATTATTCGTTGCTTGACAAGAATTAGATATAGACTTGGGCTACAATATGCAATGTCATATGAGAAAGCTGCATAGGATAGAACCTGGAAGATTATCGTCATCACACTGGTGATCCTTTCTATGTTTTCTGATGTTTTGCGATTATATATAACGTAGAAACGAAGCTCTTTTAATCGATTTACTTGAGGATAGGTAGCTCACCTATAATCTCTTTCAACTCGTCCCAATCATGCAGATGAAACTCGTCGTCAGTCTGTGATAACACCCATCTATCTATGTCCGTGAGAGGAAATGGTGAATCTTCCGGTTTATCACCTACTTTCTCTCCATTCTGACGAATCGACTCACCCATCTCTTCACACGGCGGCTGAAAGTTCCTTGGTTTTTTTGGAAATTTACTCAGCCCTGTCAATATGATGAGGTTTGGACGTAGTTTCATCTATCGGAATGACCACTGGTGGACTCCGAGTTGAGGAAATCTTATCCTCATCGGGGTAAAGTTCGGCAACCGAGCTCTGACCCCAGCCGAAAATCAACAATGACAGACTTGAGCTAAATTATTTTGGTATTGACTTTCCCGCGGAGAAGAACCGCACGTTATATATTTCTTTCTTACAATACCACCACTCTTACTTTTCCTTTAAAGTCGAGTCTCCCCTCCAAAGCAACGCTCGAGAGTTGTCGAAACTGTGAGAAGTATATTGTGATATCTATTCGGTGGCATCTTCGAAAGAGCAAAAAGTACAAGGATCACAACAAAAGCCCAACAATTTCTTGAGCTCTCACCAAATCTGCCAAAATGAGCACGGCACCAGCAAATAAGTTCCTATCAAAGGCGTACATTGATGGCATCTATATTCCATCTGGTCTTTTAATATTTGGATGTTTTATTGTCAAAAAAGATTGGCTTCCGTTCGCCGTTGCTCTTGCTGCCGTTCTCGGGGGATATAAGATTTGGTCGAGCCGTAAGTTCATGCTTTGCGCGCGGTCTTTAGTAATGTAATACATACTGACAATTCACGTAGAAGAAACTCCGGTTCTTAAGCCAACTGTCTTTCAAGATTTTGAGCTCAAGGAGAAAACCATCATCTCCCACAATGTAGCAATGTTAGTTTGACTCTAAGCCGCCTTGACTGTTTCTAACATGAGCATAGTTATCGATTCAGCCTGCCAAAGCCTACCTCTATCCTCGGTCTCCCTATCGGTCAGCATATCTCCATCTCCGCTGTTCTTCCCCAGCCCGATGGGTCAAACAAGGAAATCGTTCGATCTTATACACCTGTCTCTGGCGATCACCAACCAGGCTACTTCGACCTCCTCATCAAGTCCTACCCCACCGGAAACATTTCTAAACATATGGCTTCCCTTACTGTCGGTCAAACTATCAAGGTCCGGGGCCCAAAAGGTGCAATGGTCTATACTCCCAACATGGTCCGTCACTTTGGTATGATCGCCGGTGGAACCGGTATTACGCCCATGTTACAAATTATCCGTGCTGTCATTAGAGGCAGAGCTGCTGGAGATAAAACTGAGGTTGATTTAATTTTCGCAAATGTGAATCCTGAGGATATTTTGTTGAAAGATGACTTGGACGGTTTGGCTGCTCAGGACAAGGGTTTCCGTGTTCATTACGTTTTGAATAACCCACCCGAGAAATGGGACGGCGGTGTTGGTTTTGTCACTCCTGAGATGATCACTGTAAGTCTATCTGGAAAGTTTTGATATAATCAATCATCAATGCTAATGTTATGCAGAAATGGCTTCCCAAACCAGCAGACGATGTTAAACTTTTGCTCTGTGGACCACCACCAATGATCAGTGCTATGAAAAAAGCCTCTGAAGGGTTGGGCTTTAAAAAGGCAAAGCCAGTCAGCAAATTGGAGGATCAAGTCTTTGCCTTTTAGACAACCTGTTCCCGACGCTGGAACGGAGATTGAAACAGCCAAAACTAGATGTTGGGAGAATCTCAGCAAATGTTAGCAGAAATAGAACAATTACGAGGAAAGAAGAGACAATGCTTCAAAATCACATACAAGACAATTTTTACATGAATCCTTTTTGTGAAGCCAACCCGAATTTTGGAAGGGGTGGTCTCCACGACTTCCGTACCTCTACAGTTGAATTATCAAGGTTGGGTATTTTAGTTTGCAGTGGGTACCAGTGAGGATTCCACCAGGACCACAGTTTGTTGGCACTGTGATTAAAAGGATAAACTTGCCAGTTCTACGAGGTATAGCAGCAAGCTCGTATACTAACTCGCCATTTTTGTGTTATTATTCCATTGACGCACAAGTGGTGCTGTTCGTGAGAGACCATAATCCTTATTTCTATGTCCTATGTTGAGTCCACGAATGAGAGCAATCTATGCGAAAAATATCCGGATTCGTTGGTTGCATTGCTTCGGTGTAGCTCCACGAGACCAAATTCATGGGCAGGTCGGACCTTACAAGATTTTGTCTTACCACATAGGATAGTAGACTGGATTTTGCCGCTTTAGGGCTGTAGGATTGTGTTGTCGCGTCAATTCTCCCAACTTTCGAAACACTTACGTAGTACGCCACAAATTGAAGTTATTTCTGGCAACTTGGAGCGATGCGATTAATCCTCCACGTGGGTGGATTGCTGGTCAGTGCGGGGAGGAGCATTCGCTTGGTCCCGAACTTACTAACATAGTAGCATTTGCTTACCGAAGTTCATTCTCATGTAAAGTAATTTCTGATTGGCACAAATTCCGTTAATTTGTCTCGGTATCACATTCGATTTGAAAGCCATGCGTTGACAAGAAGAATATTTTGATACTCATGCTGTCAAAGTTGGCCAGTTCTCTCATGGTTAGATCATTGGTATGTCTCCACTTACATCCCATCTTTCAGACGCCATTGGAAAATCCTGAAGCGGCCGTCTACTTCGGTGTCAGATTCTCAACTAATCCCCAAGCTGACCAACCATCCTGTGGGTGTTAATTCCTCTTAAAGTAGGCCGAAGTTCAATTTCGGACGACAGCGGGTCTTTAAAGAATTGACCCAAGGATAACGCTTTGTGAAGGATCCCTTTTGTCGTTAGGATGATACGGTCTAGCTTGTCTAAAAATGCAAGCGCCTGGCCAAATAAACGGCTAATACCCAATTTTCAAATATTCTTGGAATCAAATTGCAGATATATAAAAACCGTCGAACCACTCTGTAGACAACTCATATCGACAATCACTTCCACATCAAAACATCCAACAATCGGCATTGCCATCAAACAATCTTTTCTAAACTTTCCTTTGTCTTAACAATCATTTTTTAAATTTTACAGCACAGCCACGCTTCCACACTCATTCACAGAAATATCTCTTGTCAGTCACTTTACTTCAACCAACTACTTCAAGATGCAATTCTCTACCCTTCTCATTTCGGCCGCAACCCTCATTCCATCCGTCCTCGGTTGCATGAACGTTAGCGTGGTTTACACTTTTGAAACCCAGTTCGAACAAAGCAATCTTTTGATTTCATATTTAGACAACGGACGAGTAACTTGCTACTACAACCAAAGGAACCCATCTCCCGAGTCGGACACGCAGGTGCCTCTCGGCGCAAACCCAGGAAAGGATGTAGTCAATGATACAGTTCAGGGATGCGTGGATGGTTACGAGAGCAATGTCAAGATCGATTTAAAGAGTACTAGTGACAAGAAGAAGCACAACTACATCGATTTTTACAGATACACGCCAGAAGGGATTCATTCCGAAACAACCTCATACAATACGCTATACCTTGGAGATAGAGAGGATAACCCAGCATCTTGGAGTTGGACAACCGCCTTTTTCTGTTAAATGTGGATAACGGCATCGTAGGTATCGAAGCCCTGAGCAATATAATGGCGTTCTTGGTGTCAACTATACCTGTGAATAGGTTTCCACTCAGCGCAGAGAGTGTGATTTCTCGGAGGGAAGGTGTTTGGGACTGGCTGGTGCATGGTGGGTGCTTGCGTGAGAGAATGAGAGCTGGTCTCGAAAGATCGAGAGTTGATTTCTTGTCTTTAGTTTTCCTTTGTTTGTTGTTCTTGGGAGGGTTGTCTGACTTACTTGTATTTTGCTTGGGAGGTCGGGTTCGGTTGTGTGAAATAGATGGTGCGTGGGGATTTGGTCTTGCTTGTTATTGTTTATGGGTATGGTGTATTGTATGTAACTTAGATATCAATTGATTGGTTTGGTCTCTAATTTTTATTTTTGAATTTGGATTTTGAGTGATGATGAAGAATAAGATGATGAAGATTAAAATGATGAAGATTAAAATGATGAAGATTTTGTGAAGTATATGATATGCACTGGTGTAATAAAGAATGAAATGATTCGAGGGTAGATCTATATTAAATCGTATGCCTTCTTGTTTTTGTTCGATTTCTAGGATTATATTTGTATTTCATTCTTTTTTGTAGATAAAATGAGTATTATTAGATAAGTATTCTATAAAGATCATTTTAATATCTAATGTAATCTATATGAAGTATATCTATTGATTATATTATATTCAATATCGGGAACTTTTCGAATATCTGAATTTTTATTAATGCTTTAGATATTTTCGATATTTTGAATAATAATATCGTAAATCTTATAAATATTTCTAAACTACTAATATCCGAAAAACAGAGTGATAATACTTTTATATTAATTTGGAAAATCTATATGGTTTGAGAAATCGAACTTTCTTTATTGTTAGATTATAGTCTAGAATATTGAAAACTCTATGTTCGTGGGGTGATAGTAAATAATCTATATAAGAGTTCTGGCCCCTGCTCATCGCATATATAATGCTTTTTCAATTAAAGTATAGAATTATTCAATTTTTTATACTTTAATTTATTTATTATAATAAAAAATCAAATTAGAAATTCTTCTGAAAAATAGTATTTAATTAATCAAATCTTATAAGAAAATAAATAAATAAAATTTAAATTTTTAAATAGGATTTGAAAAGATTAAAGTTGAAAATTCTAAATTTTTATAAAAATTTATTTATTTTATGTAGAAAAGACATTATATATTAGAATTTTTGAAAAAATTCGATTTTAATATTATATAATTATTCAACAAAAACAATAAAAAATAGTTTGAATAATTTTTTATATTTTAATTATAATTATATATCATTTTCAATTTTTTTGAAAGGAAAATATAAAGATTTGAATGAAATATTTAATATAATAATTTGTATAAGGGAACCTTATTTTTGTGGGAATTTTGTTACATTTGTTATAGGGGTGCGGTGAGCAAGGATTAGAACTCTTACCTTTTGAACTATATACTTTTAATACTTGGGTGTTTTGTATAGATAATTTACATCACAGAACACGCGTATTTGTGCGATTCTCCAGCAGCTGGAATATTAATAAGCTGAAAATCGTGAATTCCTTGGATTCGTGCTAGAAAAAGTTTAGGTAGAAGAAGAGCGTAACATCGGATCGGAAGAATGGAGTTCATATAGTTGGAGAACAATTCTGGTGGAATACGTGTCCAGATGTGTCGAGACCTGCAACAATGAAGGATTCCAGACACTCAAGAATTTTACGCAGATCTTAGAGTCGTTCATTATCCACAATCTACAGCATCTCGCCTTGAATTCAGGGTAGGGTTTTCCCGGATTTGTTCATGTAAAATGATGTTCTTGGAATCAGAAGTGCATCGACATATGAGATATTTGAATACATCACTTGAACTAGATTTTCAGATTGTGCTGAAACAATGATGTTGAGTTTCATTTGTAGAGATGTATGAAATACATTTGATCTTCCAAAGGCCCACCCTTCGCTCTTCCGCTGATGTGATATTGCTGGAATACAATCCAGAGTATCTTAAACTTTGACGCCCCAGCATTAACCTATATCTTCGCACAAGAAACTTGATATTCTCTAAGATGAGATCCCTTTTAGAATCAAAAATTTCCTTGAAACTTAAACCCAGTAAAACAGCCTTCGAATTCAAGATAATCTCGAAAGTATTCACATCTCCATAGAACAACAACACCCCTCATGTTATCCAAATCGTATCCCTAACTCCACGTCACCCGAACACCTATAGCTCAATCAAAAGAGTGCCCTTCTCAAGGTCTTTCTCGAGGTCCTCCTCAGCCACTTTCTTAACAAACCCAAGGTCTATCAAAGGGTTTTCGTCCTCCTCAGCAACTTTCTTAGCAACCCCGAGATCTACCAAAAAGTTTTCGTCCTCCTCAACAACTTTATCCTCAAAAACTTTCAAAAGAGTCCCATGATCTCTCAAAAGTTTTTCAGTAGCTTCCAATCGCTTCTCTCCATTCAATTTTGCCAACTTCCCCAAGATTTCGAATTTTCCATTCATACGGCCATTGAAGTAGGAGAGCTCGCGCCACAATGAAAGCTCCATCAGGGTCATCATAAGAAACCCTATGCCAATAACACACAATACAAAAGTGCCTTCAATCCACCCATCGCAGTTCTCATGTGTACCAAAGTAGAATGGCCATTCATGCACCCATGGATTGCACGCCGTCGGAGGTGTAGATCTGTAGACTACAATGAACAAACTGTAGAATGAGATGAGAATCATCATACTGTCAGGAATGATTTTTGTGTTGATGCGGATTTTGGTGTAAATTCTTTTGGTGTATATTCTTTTGGTGGGTAATAGGAGAGAGGAAGAGAATTAGAAGAGAATTTTGGAAGATTGGTGGGAGAACGGCTGTACTAGTGCAGAGTCATGTGTCGGACGTCATTCCTCTTCACTAAATACACTAAGATTACTTGGTGCCAATGGAATTCCCCACCATTCCAACTTATATCAGAAATGTATCCTTCTGTTCCTTGAACAGTGTGTTTCGCTGTCCTAAGCGTCTCGGTCCATCAATACTAATTGGTGCTCTTCTCGAACGTCGAATACCATAGGGTTAGCACATTGCCAAAGATAAGTACCGCAGATTTTAACTAGTTGGCTTAAAGCAGCTATCATGAATTCTCATTTATAAAGGTTCATGAAGTTTATCTAGTGGAAGTTCATCAGCCATTCGTTCTACTCGCTTACAAATTCCTCAATTGATTAGATGGTTAGAAAAATACACAATCAAATGTGAATGTTTGAACGAAGTACATCTTTCAAATCACTTTGAATATCTGAACTAAGCTGAATGTTCAAATAAAGCTGGCTTTTTGTATGTGACTAAACATCTGAGTGGGTTTGAACGTCTGAGAGCGTTTAGATGTTCAAGTGAATATGGATGTCTGAATAGTTTTAGATGTCTCAAGGCATCAGAATTTCTAGATTGGAATCGTTGTTTTTTGATTGTCCACTCCACCAATCTTCACATTCCCAGCAGAACATCTGGGCGATTCTGTCCAACCTCCCCCCCCCCCCCCTCTTCCGATTTCGATCGTACATTCACAGGCTACAGTTTGTATTTTCATTGCTCAATCTTCAATAATCGCTAAATATTTATGGAAAAATGCAGAATTCTCTGGTTGTTTAACCTACAAGCAATGAAGCCTTTTGAAATCTTGACATCTGATAAACCAACGCTAATCGAGCATATAGAGATATAGACATCAGTTTGTGTGATTATTCAAGAGACTGTGTAAAACAGCCTCGATAAAGGACTCTTCGCTTCTGTTCACGCATCTGCAGTCTTTTGAAGGTTTAGAGTTGTCTTGCGAGTGGACATTAAATTATTATGATAAAAAGTTTCTCTATTATGGAACTTGAACATCTTTCTTTTTACTTTTGAATCTACTGTTGGCATCAAAAACGGTGATCACTCGTATTTGGTTTTTTTGTTTGTTCTGTTGACCAGCAAATACAATGGTTTCGTTGGTGTGCATCGGTTCTTTGTGCTAATTCTTTGTTTTGTTCTGCTATTTCGAGTCGATTGTAACATTGTCTCTGTGCCTTTGTCTTTGAGACTCAGTATTACTCCGTAACTCAATCAAAATAAAGACAAGTTCATGTATATTCTCTGGGAGCCGTTTGAAAATTCAGTTCATGAACAATGCTGTGAGGTTTGGGTTAAAGTCTCGAAAATTCTTCTTAAATATTTTCTCTTCATTCTCATCATATTCAGACCACCATACCCAGTATCTATCTATTCTCAGAAACTTTAAGCTCTTTGAAAAAATCTAGTGCAAGATGTGTATCACCATTAACTTTCTCTTCTCGGAGTGTGGTCATAGAACCTCATTCATCCGCCCATGTCAGGAAAATGGTTCTCTCTGCGGAAACATGGTGACTGACCCTATGGTGTTCACACATGCTGACTTCTGTAATGATTGCTTTATGCTTCCCGATCCCAGAATATCTAAGCCTGATGAAGACCAACTTGGATACCCAGAAATTGATTTAATGGTAGAGTTTTATGAAGTCCGGGATGTTGAAGATGAAACCAAGCATTTGCAGGTTCGCCTCCAAAACTTACCCCCTCCTGATGATTTTAAAGATCCCAGTTACCGTTTATCTAATTGTAGAACATTGAGTTTGCTTCCTAGAGATAGTCTCGATGTGCTATTAATTGTGGTCAATCAGCGCCTGATTCCTGACTTTTGGCTTCGCATACTCCGCGGCGAATTCCCATCTCCTTTAATCAGACATTCTATTTTACACCTTCGACAAATCTTGATGTTGAACCTTGCACTTCATCGTTCGAGAACAACTCTTTCGAAAATTGAATGGTACTTTGCTATTGGTCATGAAATTTTCTGCCAAGTCGAATCCACCTCGTGTGATGATGATTGTGGGATTTGTCGCCAGCCGCTCAATGAGATAGGTGAGGAAGGCGTACCGGTAAAAACGCAATGCAATCATATATTCCATCTGCAATGTATTAGGGAATGGATTAACATGGCTCCAAATGGCGATTGTCCAGCTTGTAGAACATTGATTCTAAAGACACTTGAACCTATTTATGATACTCCAGCACGAGGCCCACATCCAGAATGGCTTTTATCCCTATTGTTACCCGCACCACAACTTGCTCCTAGCCATGCAGCACGTGTAGCACAAGAACTCGTACAATTAGAGGCTGATCTCGCAGATGCACGTTTGAGAGCCGCGGAGACTGAACAAAATCTCACTGATCTCCATGATGAACTACAGATTCCAAGCGATGCCTTTTCTCGCCTAGAATTCTTCAGTACTGCATATATCCTACGCTCAAGGGAACTTGTTATGATGAGACTTCTGAGCTTGTCTGCAATAAACTTTACTAGGTATGAAAGTCAGGTTCGGCGCCATCAAATCAATCTCACACAGGTTGAAACGTCTTTTGGAAGAGTTCGTGACTGGAGGCAAGAGTTAGATAGATTAAATCGTCAACCCATTCGGAGTTATAGTGCTACCACACTCGAAATTGCGAGAGCTGAAGTTGATCTTTTAATCGGGATTGTAGACCAGTAATTGGAATAGTATATGACGTATTTTGTACACAACTCCTCGATGCGTTGAATACTAGATTGTTAATGCTCTCTTTTTGTTCAATTTTCCTACTTGATCGTAAGTACCATGAATCCATTTCCTTACACATATAATATAACCTACATAAACCACAACCCCAAAAATCTTTTAGAATTCCCACGTGACAAAATACTGAACTTGACTGATCAAAAATAGAATTACTGAAACCTCCTAGAAGTGAGATTGCGAATTCTAAGTCGCAATTTATTATAAAACTTTGAATAAAGGATATCACATACTGGATATCAATTGATCCTCATTTTATAAGCTACGCTTGAATATCTCTCTATTCAATCCTATCATTAGCCTCAACCTCTTGTATTCTTGATCCTCTCCTCACTTTCACGGAGCTGGACATGGTAAAACTATAGAACTTTAAAAACTTTACTTGATGTTGTACATTATAAAGAGAAAAGAAGAGCCATGTGTGAAGGGAGTTAAGTGTTCCCCCCTTCGTTGCTCCTGACCTAATCACGCGGACGCTTTATTTTAGGACTTGATATCTCTCTAACTCAAAGTACCATTGGCTCGCAATTCACACACCGACTCAGACCTCTAATTAAGAGAATAGCTTAAATTACAATTGAAAGAAGATAGTGCATGCATCTCTTTCCCCTCAAGTCCCTTCTCGGCGACAATTAGATAGATCCTATAATGTTCCTCCATTGAATTTATATCTGATCATTAATTGCAATCTTTCCATTAATTATTCACAGCTTCTTATATCTCAATACTAACGTGGTATTTCAGACAAGTTTTTTTGCCGGCGGTTTGCTAGGAATACAGAATTTCCTATTAAATATTATAGTACTGGCATCACATAAACATCGGTAAAAATCTCACATAATAACATTTGTGAATTAATATCTTAAACATTAAATTTATAACTAATATAATTTCAATTAAAAAATTTGTTGTTTCACTCTGTATTTTCATAAAATATTACTATTTTAGTCTTTTTCCCCCCCTTTTTTTAACTATCAGAAATCTTGGAAAATCCAAGAAGTATTTAATGATCTAGAAAGTGTAATTTTGATAAGAAGATTAAATTTTTATAAATTTAAAAGATTTAAAAAAAATAAAATTTTTTATTTAAGAGATTCATATACATTTTTCAATTTCTAAAATTCCAATTTTACTATTTCATTGAGATTAGAATAATAATATTTCAAAGAGTAGAACAATCTGAATTAGCATATACCAGACCCCGAATAGCATTTTTGATATTTGAGGTATAAATATATAGAATAGTATTATATGATGTTATTACTGTATGAGTATCTCGTTATTTATACTACTATAGCTATTCATTGCTTTCATCGTGAACTCCCTCATTAAAGTCTATCAGTCACAACGCGTCGTCCCATCATAATATCTCAAAATAACACAATTTTTCTTTCGGACCATCCCCCTTCATCTCTCTTTCCAAGCGAACCTAATACCTCAAGAGAAATGCCACATCATCCTCTTCCCGCCTCTTTAATGCATCAATCTGGCAATCGACCCCAAAAGGTCTCCAATAGCCTCATTGTTACCACCCTGTCTCTCATTACTGGAAGCTTCTTGATAACCTGCTACTAAGGGATGTGCCTCGATATCGATAACTATTGGGCTATTGGGTCAGCTCATCAAGCTTGAAGTAGGTTTAAGAGAGGGCATGCTCGGGGTTACATACCATCGTTCATCATGATGCGGGCCTTACGAGCCATGAATATAGCGACGCCGGCCAGTACGGCGGAGACGACACCAAAGACCAGGGCAAGAGCATCACTTGTTGAAACTCAAGATTAAATTAGCTTAGACGAGAAGAAATATTCGAAAAATTTAACATACGCATTGCGAATTCAAGTCAGTGAAGTGCTACAAGTGTGTAGGAGGAAGAACCAAAAAGAGTCAGGGAAGGCTGAGACAGTTGAATGATACGAAGCGAGGCTTTTGCGAGATATGTAGGACCATAAAAGCCTGGAGGTACAAGGCAAAGGTTTAGTGGAGACAGAATCGTGACTTAATGCCGGATGATATAACACGTGGAGAAGTACAGGGCGAAGGCTATAGAAGTGGAGTCGAGTAATAAGGCTGGGTGTGAAACGCGAAGGTATTCGGCTCTCGAGTAGAACGTGATAACAATATATCTTTGGATCAGTAGTTGAATAATTTCCGAGGGAGTTCTCTGGATTCTACGAATCATGTCAAATCTACGGGAGGAGTCACCAATACTTATAGAACAATCTTCATAAGGCTGCGTGGATTATCAACAAATATCCAGTGAAGCTGTGTTGTGATGAGATGATTGACTTACCAACGGAAAATGCGTAGCCATTTTTTTTCTTAGAGATGGTGCCAAATGATTCTCACTACAATACGAACTATCGAAAAGCGGCACTCCCCTCCAGGAACAGTTGATGATGTTAAGGCAGTGCTGGTGTCGAACTATCGTTATCGACCTCTCCACATTTGCCTCTCTCTTAGCTTGGCATCCAAGTGTCTAATCTCTTGTTTAATGTCATTTTTAGCTATTATAACTGGCTGTATATCATCCCTATCTCTCTATTCGGGTCAGCACATGTTGTGTTTGTGATCATCGAGGCGCACTTGGGTACTTGGGTACTTGGGTGTCATAACAATGTTGTGTAATGATAGTCGGAGGTTTCCAAACTTACCAAACTGTTGAAATTTATGGGTAGTGCACGCCGATGCAATTACTCTGTGTTATGGATGCACACTTGATATGGCGGTCAGTTGAAAATAAATGAAAGATTCATACGACAGACAACCTGCGAGGCTCTACACCCAGTTTGGTCATACGATATCAGGCTACAACTTCGAACAATAACCCTATATTCGTACGGAATTGATATAACCTAGATATCGATTTCTGCAAAGACTGTTGATATTAAGATCTAGCACCGATATAATATGAAATGGAATGAAATGATAATGCAATTCAGAAAGAGAGTCGTTTCGCAACACCAGTCTATACCATCCCGAATCACAACACAGCCTCTATCGAGCTCGCATAGGGTCAGGCTTTGACTAACATGTCAGAATTGATGTACACAATGAGCCTTCAATATAAAAGTCAGATTCAGTGCCATCTTAAGTTTCCATGGTTCTTGTAAACGATTTTGCACTACTTTTAAGCTGCACAACATTGTGTTCATGCGTGTGCAAGTACAACCTAAAAGCATTTGACTAGGCAAAGATCCAAGTCGTGATTTATGATATTTGATTCACCCACACCAATTGGCACATCATGACCCCATGTTTTTACGATCGAGGATCATTTACACAGCATCTCTCATGTATAGCATGCTTCAGATCGCAAGTGTCGGGAACAAACCATGTTTTCAGAAGTGATGGCGATCGCAAACCGAGATGCAACATAATTTCTCTTTTCCTTCATCCAATTTTCCAAGCCTTGCCAATTTTACCATCCATTCTTAGCTCAATCAGCTTAACACCCAGACTACCTGCATGAGCTTCTTCCCAACAGCAGTGTAGGCAAAATGCCGTACGGTTGGTGGAAACAATCGATTGAGTGAATCTTGAATCTTTCTTCATACATGTCAGCATTAGTTGTGCAACCTAGCTTGCTTTCAGAAGATGGTCTATCCTAGGCATCCACTCTCATAAGCTAACAAAAATCTGCCTTGTTCCTCCAATATGCGGCTCTTTATATGTTCTCCGATCAAACTCATTGTCGTACGCCACACCAGAAACTCCGTCAACGGCCCTCTCATTTTCCTATTCAGCTTACTACACCCAGCTCTTCAACTCCACATCTTGACCAATCACCTCACTACACACAGCTCACGCGCTTTTCTATAGCAAACAAAATAATCATTCTAATTCTAATTGTAATTCTAATATAATAATATTTAATATATATAGAGATCAATTCTTAAACGCTTAATTCTTATGATATTTAAATTTAAATTAATAAATCAAATTCTTTTTATTCTTATTATCTTTTTAACGTTTTAAATCATCTAAATCATCTAAATCATCTAAATCATCTACATAATATGAATAATATAAATAATAATAAAAACAATATAAAATAATAGAAAATATTAGACACTCCGAAATACTAGCGAGCTAGCTCGCCCTGAAATTCTACATCGAGTTATAAATTCATACGGTTTTGTCATAATACTGTTCACTAACCCCACTCCTCTCTTTTTCGCTTCCACTCTTAGATTTGTTCCTCTCTTCTCACTTCTTCTCTTCTTAAATTTTATACACCACCAGTGGGTGCATGGATTGACGGTACACTTCCCAACTTTCGAAATTTCTAATAAATTCATTCTTCAATTGTTTGATATCAATACTCATAATTTGATTTTTCTAAATCTAATGAATGATCGCAACAACTTCCAAGATATCTAATTCTATATATCAAGAGATATTCACAAGTCAATTTTTGTAGTGACCCGTCAATCCATACACCCACTGGTGCACTAACTACATAACGCATATCCCACCTCCCATCTACTATACACAACCTCTAATCCGTCTAATCTCTAGAATCAACTCCCACCCCATCAAGCAAACTAAACATCACCACCCTCTGCGACTTCTCGAAAAATTTACTTCCAACCACCCCATCGAAACTACAACCCACAACCCACAATCTCAACTCAAACACCCACAATCGGATCTCATCCACGAACTCACCGAACCCCCATCTAACACTATCTCTCTTTCTAAAACCACAATATCAGTATTCCCTTCTCATCTACTTTCTTATCCATCTCCTTATTTCAACTTCGTCATCAACTTCGTCATCAACTTCCTCACCAACCCCATCAAACTCACAATTACTATCCCCCCTTTTGGACGAACTAATATTAAACATCTTCTAATCATATCAATACGATATCATCATAGAAAGTCTCATCTCATCTCTCCATTACACTCGATTTACTTCCCTCTACATCCATCACCATCATCCATCATTCATCACCTTATATTCCATACCTAACTATCTATCTCCAAATCAAAAAACACTCCTATCACTTCCCTATCCCTCCTTTCACCACCCACTTCCCCACCCCTCGATCCTCGATCCCCTTCATACTACCTACTCTCTTATCACGGTCTCCTCATCATATCATATCAATCTCTTCTCAAGTTTTCTTTCGATCCCTTTCTACCTTTTCTCTGCCTTCTCTTCACCTTAAACCACCTCATTACTTATTACCCCCTACATCAGCCTAGAGTATTCAATCGTCCAAACCCCAATCCTCCAAACTCCAATCCTCCAAACCCCAATCCTCCAAACCCCAATCCTCCAAACCCCAATCCTCCAAACCCCAAACCCCAAACCCCAATCCTCCAAGTCCCAATCCACAATCCCCAATCCAAGAATCCAAGACTCCAAACAAATATTCAAATACCCAAAAGAAATTCAAACTCCCAAACCATTTCAAACTTCCAAACCATTTCAACTTCCCAACATCCCACCATCCCATCAAATTCCCTCCGCCCCTCCGCCCCTCCCTCTCTCAAATACCCTCTCTCAACAATCCAACAATCCAATTCCTTTTCATCCATTCAACCCCTTCCTTACTTACCTACCTAGGTACCTAGGTATATTACATTACAATACAATACAATACCAAACTCTTCTACTCCAACCATCCAATATTACATTACCAACTCTTTTAACCCAACAATCCAACAATCCAACAATCCAACAATCCAACAATCCAACAATCCAACAATCCAACAATACCCTACCCTACCCTACCCTACCCTACCCCACCCCACTCCAAAACTTAAACTTAACCTCTACCCCCTTAATTCCATTCCTACTCAAGAATCATTAATAATTCTCAACAACTCTCCCTTACCTATTTCTATTCCTATTAAATAAAATCTTCTATACTTATATACATACATACATATATATATATACATATATACATATATACATATATACATATATACATATATACATATATACATATATACATATATACATATATACATATATACATATATACATACATACATACATACATATATATATAATCAATTAATTAAATATAAAAATTAATAAACTTATCTATTCATCTATTTATCTATTCATCTATTCATTTATTCATCTATTCATTTATTCATTTATTCATTTATTCATTTATTCATTTATTCATTTATTCATTTATTCATTTATTCATTTATTCATTTATTCATTTATTCATTTATTCATTTATTCATTTATTCATCTATTTATCTATTCATCTATTCATTTATTCATTTATTCATCTATTTATCTATTCATCTATTCATCTATTCATCTATCCATTCATCTATTTACTTACATACTATCTATCCACCTAAAATACTTTCTTCACTCATCTCACAAATATAATTAATGAATATTCTACCTACATTTAACCCTCCAACTCACTCCCTTATTTACCCCTGTATCCCTCCGTCATCGCCACTCCCCATCCACAAAATTCACGAACCTTTCGAATCACTAATTTTGTTTTTCACTTTGATTCGATTCAATTCACTTCGATTTAGCGCAATTCAATATAACACATCTATTTTCTCACTATCTTCTTATCTTATGATTTCAACAAACTTCTAACGCATTTCTCTACCTTCCAGCCCCCGTCCTCGCATCTACCTCTCATGGTGCATTTCTCTCGCTACCCCACCTACCCCCACGCCAACCCCCTATCTACTTCTCGGTTACGAAACAATCACTCCCCACTCAAGTATCAAGGAAAAAAAAACAACCCCATCCCATACCAACCATTAATTCCATCCTCTCCTCTCCCTTCCCTCACGCAACAAATATTAACATTCCAAATTCCCACAGGGTATAAAATCCCCGCCCGTCCGCCCGTCCTTCCATCCATCCGATCCTCTCTCACCCCACCCCTACCCTCCACAACATCATCCCATCCACCCCGATTCCCAATCCCGTATAATATACACAAATCCATCACTCCTTCAAATCCCATCCCGTTCCAACCCCACCCAAATCCATATTATATAAACAAAACATCCGTGGAACTGAATCGAATAGTAACATATACATTCGTACCCTCGTACTTCCGTCTGTCCAGCCCTTTAAACCCCAAACCAAAATCCATAAACACCATGCTATAAACCATGCATGCAAGTTCTCCATGAAAAACATCGCAATACAAGCGCAAGCAAAACTCACGTGAAGAAGAAAAAAGGGTCAAATCTCGATCTTTGCTGTTTTGATGATAGAACGTGAACAGAAGAGATTATCATGAAAACAACAGAGCAAATAGCCAATCGGTAGACTGAGATCGAAGCTAAAGTCGATATCGAGAGTATGCAGGGACAATTGAGGTTGCATGCCAACCTTTCAGTCAATCTGCCCCTCTAGAATTCCACACTACCTCTGACTTCCTCAGGAATGACTTCTTCTCTCCATTTGACACCACCCTCCACATCAACACCTCCTTTGACCCACTCATTTTCCTGAACTTTCTCCAATGTCCATCTACTCCTTGCTCTCTTCAACAATCCCTCTGTAATCTCCATTGCACCTAACAATCCCTTTTCCTTGAATTTATCCGGGTCACTCTCATGATCTCCCTCTTCACCGAAATATTCAATCCATCTCCATTCAACTCGTGCAATTCGATGACTTGTTCGACTGCGTTGTTTGTGTCCTTCTGGCATTCCTGGATTAGGATCGAATGGCAATCTACTTTCCAGTAATGCATAGAGTAAGACACCAAGAGACCAAGCATCTGTAGCGCGTCCATCATATGGTTGACCCATGATAACTTCTGGGGCAGCATAATCATCTGATCCACAACGGGTAGTAAGTTTTTCATCATCGGCTACGCGTCGAGAGAGACCGAGATCGGTGAGGGTGATGATGGAGTAAGGATATTTAGTCCAGTCTTGTGGTTTTGCAAGTTCATGTTGAGGAAGGTTGACCAAGACATCTGAACAAAAAGGAGACTTGGTTAGTATGTGACATTTGGATTTGAGTAAATCACCAAAGAAACTTTCAAAAACTTACTTTCTAATTTGATATCCCGGTGAACAATACGCCTATCATGTAAATATTGGACAGCACCAATCAGCTCTGCAAACATCCGTCTAAGTAACGATGGGACGAGAATATCTCGATGCTGACTGGCCACTTCGAATAGATCTCCACCGGGACAATAACTTAAAACCAGAATAGCTCTAGTCTCTTCTATGCTCCAAGCTTTGAGGTGAACCAATGAAGGATGATGTATCGATTTCATGATTTCCAATTCACGTTTCAGTGACATTTCTACTCTTTCTTCAGATGCCCCTCCTTTCGGACCATGTTCACAAATCTTAATCGCTACCAACTTTTTTCGGTCGACTTTTGTCTCCATAGGTGTAACAATCGATTCAATCCCGAACACATTGTCTTCATCTATGCGACCTTCGGCATCTTGGACTTGACTGGTAGCCAAAATCACTTTGCTGAAAGTGCCTTGGCCCAAAACTTTTATACCTCTCCATCTTCGTCGTTTAGAATCATTTCTAGTATACGCATCAAAGTATTCATATCTCGATTTTCGAAGAGCTCTAGGAATGTTGTTAGTGGTCAATGATGAATCACTATCACTGCTTTCCCCTCCCGTTCGACTCGATGGTGGGGTAGGTGGTCTTGGAATGGGAGCCAATCCTCGTTGAACTGCTAAATGTGGTTCTCTCCGCATATGCATGTCTGATTGTGGACCATCTACTGCTCCATCCATGATTGGAGCATGTGAACCCGATACAGTGACATTCCGAGGTTTTGGTACTTGCGAAGCTTCCGGTACATATTCGCTCATACTTCTATTCCGGGTGTGTCCTTCAGCATTCTTTTTTCGGTTTATTTGAGCATCCGTCAACCCAGATTCGACAGCATTTGTTATTAACCCATGATATACTCTTCTCTTTTGTTGATTGGCAATCGCAGAGGAAACTGATTCGCCGTTTGATGTGATCAGAGCCGAATCCGCATGCATTGGTAGCATCTGCTCGCGGGATGTTCGTCTCGAGTTTAATCGTTTCCATGGTCCCGGTGAATCTCCCGACATGAGTGGTGAGGGGAGAGGGGTCACATCTGCCATTGCGTTCAACATTGGTGAGGATAATGCTGAGTTTGGCGCCGAACCGTTGCTACCTATGCTACTCGCCAGGACATTCTTCACACTTGGAGTTCGCGCGAGAGACATTCCTATCTGCCCACCGGATCTTGATGGAATGCGAATAGTATCGGGAGAGTCGCGCTCAGTCACTCCGGTTCCTGTGCTGGCAGATGTTATTGTATAACCTGGAGCGATATCGGTTTGTATCCGCAGACCCGCGCTTAGAGGACTCGGAGTTTGGCTATATGACGAATCTATATTTGGGTGAAGACGAGAAGTGGTGTCAAGCGCGAGTGGGGTGTATGCCTCGTTTGTTGAAGTGGATCTGCTGTGAGGGGGCGAAGGTGCTATGGTATTCGATTTGAAGATGGCCGTGAAAGCTGGGATTTGATTTGATTGAAGAGATAAAGGTAAAGAAATGTTTGAGTTTTGTGTTGCTTTTACATCGTTCATAAAAGTGGTTGTACTATGCCCAGCTTGGTCGGACATGAGACCTGACACAGCTTCGAGACTTCCATTTTGTATTCGGCTCTCGAGCATTCTTTGTTCCGAATTCGACATGTTGGGGGGAGGGAGAATGCGGGATAATTGGAGCGAGAGTTAATATATTTCTGTTCTTTTAGAAGACAAAAAGAGGAAGAGGAGATTGAGGTTGAGGTTGAGGTTGAGGGTTTTTTGGGAGGGATAATTAAATCCAAAGTAACGTTATGATAACTGTTTTTCAGGGATTATGTTTTGATGAAGAGCGTAATTTTGATATACTGTAGTGTGACTAAGTACCTCGTAAATCTCAATCAACCATGGACCATCAATCAAACGATCAAACCAGCAAGCAAACAATCCAATACCACCTCGATAAACGAATCAAAGGAGAAGACGAGGCGTATGGATAAATTGAATGATTGCATGTGGTTGTGTTGTATTGTGTTGTATTGTATTGTGTTGTATTGTATTGTGTTGTATTGTATTGTGTTGTATTGTATTGTGTTGTATTGTATTGTGTTGTATTGTATTGTGTTGTATTGTGTTGTATTGTATTGTGTTGTATTGTATTGTGTTGTATTGTATTGTATTGTGTTGTATTGTATTGTGTTGTATTGTATTGTATTGTGTTGTATTGTATTGTGTTGTATTGTGTTGTATTGTATTGTATTGTGTTGTATTGTATGGATGTACTTTGTCGATATTTCGATTGAGAAATATAATGTGAAGTGGGGGTTGTGAGTACAATAATAAATGAACGAACGGATAAGATAGGGATGTGGATGTGGATGTGGATGTGATGGGATGGGATGCGATGGGATGCGATGGATTCCAAGGTTGGTTGGAAGAAATTAAGCTAGTGACGACAGCAAGCAAGGTGATGAAGAAGAAAATATATAGTAGGAGGAGGAGGAGGAGGAGTAGTAGTACAGTAGTAGTAGTAGTAGTAGTAGTAGTAGTAGTATAATTTGATTGATTTGTTATATTTATTAATAAGCCAATTACATATATATAGGTATATGTATATGTATATATATATCTATATACGATATATATATATAGAAAGAGTATCAAGGGAGGAGATGGGAGAAGACTGGAAAGATGAGAGAAGAGAAGAGTGAAGAGTGAATGGGAGTGAATGGAGTAAATTGAGTAACTGCTTTTCGTATTCGTGGGTTGAGTTGAAATTGCTTGCAGACTATTGTTTGTTCTGGCGCTGGCTGTTGGCTCTGGCTTTGGCTCTGGCTCTGCTTCTGGTCTGGGGTTGGCCTTTTCTCTCATTTCATTTTATTTCACTTCACACTTCACTAATATCAGGCTTCACTCATTTTACACTTCACTCATTTCACACTTCACTAATATCAGGCTTCACTCATTTCACACTTCACTACCTAACGACCTAATTTCACAGGTCACGGGTGACAGACCTTAGACGGCTCGTGTCACATCTACAAAGTTTCAATCCAAGGACCTACATGTAGGAGGTACATCTACCAAGAGCTAATCATAATGTACCATGGTATTTTAATTACCTCTCAATCTACTTTCTTTGCTTGGTTTATTCTTTTCAACCTCCAAATGATATCTTTCCTACATCCTCCGTTCAATGTAGGTACGACGAGGTACGTTGACAACCCTTTCTCCAACAGTCACAACTCCCTTCTCCTCTGATCCTCCCTCCCTCATCTTCCCGCCGCGGGTCAAATGAAACAACCGGGTTCAATTGATACACCACCAATGGATTCCTTTCCTTGCCCACCAGATTCTCTTCAAGGGTCACGCTTTAACTTTTAAGCTCAAGTAACGTTGGAAACCTAAAAATCGATAGGGCAATTTCACATCCAACGTGGGTGGAACGATAGGCAAAATGATATTGATATCAAATGAACAGGGGATCTATCTTGGTCAAACAAGGGATCATTATCTTCTTACCTACGAACTACTGATAACTACCTGCCGACCTAATCACTCCAAACTTCTCTTCATGATAAGAATCTGACCATCCTCTTTTCTCTTCTTCGCTTTCCTGGCTTATCCTTCGTGGAAATATTACGGAGTCGACCCTCAGCCATTCCTCTTTCCTTCTGTCACTCAGACTGATATTGATGAATGCAGTAATCCGGCCATCTCGGATATGCCGATATGGGAATGGATTAACAGCTCCTTTTGGTCCAGAAAGGTCGATTTCGGTAATTATTAATTACAACCGCTCTCTGATAGCTCTTGATATATAACACATTCATACCATACCCATACCCATCCCCTCTTTTTTTCCTTCTCTTTTCTGACAAAACTTTGAAGTGTGACGTCTTCATTAATCTTCGCTTCTTCCATTCCTCGATGTTTATATAAGTTTCAGATGGGAGAGAATGTATATTCATTGAAGTGATTCACAATTCTTGATGAACGATGAAAAGAATGGGGAAGAGAGAACAAATTCTTACCCATCCGACTGGTATCAAAAGACTAATAATTGGTAGATGTCTTGAACTCACTCCCTCATGTGCTTCATTTTTTGGGTTCAGCCTGTGTGTGATTGGAAATAAGTCAACTTTTTGACATTTTTGCTGCAATGTTATGGAGAAGTCAAGTCTTGTTATAATATGCAGAAAGTGGATTTTGGCGTCACCATACATTTTAATGACCCTCACCCCCTTCATCGAATCCGGTTAAGCAATTTGTCTTACACGAACATGACATGACATGTACGGAGTTTTGTCTATCCTACAAATATAATATAATATCATCAACAGATATACTATGATATGGTACCAAAGCAGGTCCTTCAATATCCATTCTCATTCTCTCCGTGTACAAGTTGTACTCGGGTTTCAATCCATTATCTATTCAAGTCGCGAGTCTCTGAGTTCTGGAAATGAATTTTCAGCTGACCCCTCCCTTCTTTTAATATTGTACCTGGATCTCCGGCCCACCCAATCGACTTGCCCCACCATATCAAAAATCATTTTGATATTCAATCCATCCCATGCTCCCACGCGGCGCCAAGAAAAGATGAACGCTCAATTGAAATTGATGTTGATGTTCTCGAGGGATTCAAGACAAGAATTCCGATCCGCCGGCTGACCATCCATCCTCATTCTCACCATCAAGAGAGCATTAGGTACCGGTACATGCACTTGAAGAAATAACAACAACAATACAATATCCCACGTTTGCAAGCAACATCTCCAATTGGATGCGTACCTTGGATGTCATCAACAAGGATACGTTTTACCCGCAACCAAACCACTATTTGATGCTTGTTTGTACGACACAAAACACACTCCTGTGCGTTGTAGAATCCAGAAAGATGTGTTTCAGATGTTGCATGGGAACAAGTCATGTGAATTGGTCTTTGTGGGTAATGCCTCAATATTACGTAGGTATATGAGATGGCTCTTCTCTGTTTTCTCTCATCGCATGATGATGTAGATTCCGGATGCGATTGTGCTATAGGTTGAGACTCGAATACGTTCATATCATTGTATGCATCAGGTCCGCAGAAGCAAACAATTGATCGAAGCATCGAATGTCCGTAATCTTGTTACAAGATCCATCTCAGTAGGTATATTTGAGAAAACATTCACAAGCTGCTGACATGACAGTGACAATATCTAGGTAAGCCAGAAGTTGAACGCATGAGGAATTCTGTTTGCTGTCTACATCTATTTGACATTCGAATAGCCTCATCCCTCAAAGTTATTCTCTAAATGTCATCAGCCAACTAGCTGACTGACTGACAATTTGATCTCAAAAACTTATTCTATACTCGATTTCAACAATCATCTCGGAAAGAAATCATACTCTCGTTCTCGCCATTCGATTGCTCTCAATTTCTCTCAGGCTAACCACACCCCTCATGCATTATCTAGTAAAAAAGTAAGCACACAGACGAAGCTAAACTCACACCCACAGAAATCATATCCTCGTCTCAAAATTTATTTACATACTCCGACCTCGGTAAAAAAGAATTGGCGTATCACGAAAATGAAATTTAACATCACTCCCTTATCACTGTGATTAAAACTCCATGATTCATCGACTTGACCCACAATCTTTGTATCATTCTGCCCCGGTTTTTCACAAGACAATCGCGCGGTAAAGGAATTAGCATATGAATGGGGGACTCTAGGTAGGTATTGCCGCGAGCCTCGGTATGGCGTCTCTTTGATTTGAAGTCTTCTCCCTGACTTTTCCTCGTGTTTCCCCTTTACTTTACTTTTTGCTTCATTTATATCGTCGGTGGCAATTACCCTAGATTTCTTTGTGTTCTTTAACGTTCGAATTTCATATATATTCCATTTCAGAAGTTGTCCAAAGATACAGTAGTTACAATGAGTAAGAAAGGGGACTTTGCCGCCGTCCGAAAGGATATTGTTGGCCTTTTACACCAACCGGAATATGATGATGGCAGTGCTGGACCAGTTCTTGTGCGCTTAGCATGGTATGTGATCTTTCATTCCATGTCTTCTCCAGACTATGCGCAATTAATGCAATCCACTTTGGCGCAAACGATTCCTTCTCATTCACAAACTAATATCATCTAGGCATTCGGCCGGAACATACGATTCTGAAACAGATACGGGTGGATCCAATGGAGCTGGTATGCGATACGAGAGTGAAGGAGGAGATCCAGCAAACGCTGGTCTACAACACGCGAGAGTCTTCCTCGAACCAGTCAAAGCCAAGCATCCCTGGATAACGTATGCGGATCTCTGGACATTAGCAGGAGTAGTGGCGATCAAAGAAATGGGTGGACCAGATATCCCATGGCAAGGTGGACGAACAGATTATGTTGATGACTCGAAATTGCCCCCGCGAGGACGTCTACCAGATGCAGCACAAGGATCCGATCATCTTCGATGGATTTTCTACCGCATGGGATTTAATGATCAGGAAATCGTGGCGTTGAGTGGAGCTCATAATCTGGGACGATGCCATAGCGATCGATCTGGTTTCGAGGGAGCCTGGGTTAATAATCCTACGAGATTCTCGAATCAATATTACAGACTTTTGCTTTCTCTTCAATGGCGCAAAAAGAAGTTGGCAAATGGAATCGAACAATTCGTCAACTATGATGAGGATACCGAGACGGAATTGATGATGCTTCCAACGGATTTGGCTCTGACACAAGATAAGGAGTTCAAGAAATGGGTAGGAAAATATGCAGATGATAAGGAAAAGTTCTTTGAAGATTTCAGTAAAGTCTTTGCAAAGTTGATTGAGTTGGGTATTCAAAGAGATAGCGAGGGTAAAATCACAAACTTGGATAATGAAAAGGGTGGATATCATTCTGCACCGAAGAAGAAGGATACTCCTGGTAGTCCAGCGAAGAACACAGATGATAAGAAAGTGGATGTTAGCGAGGCTGCACCATTGCAAGAGGAGAATAAGAAATTCAAATCGAAGTTGTAGGGGTTTGGTTGTGTGTGTGCAGTATTGGAAGTCTGGTTTTTTTGCAGTCATAGACGTATAGATACAACTAGAGAGGCGAAGATTTTAGACTTTAGAAAAGATAGACTATATCTAGACATAGAAATAATAATAGATGGTGTACAACTAGTTGGCGCTATGCAATTTGGGAAAGTGCAACCAAATTGTTTCTTTTTTCAGAACATGTATACCTCATTTCATCTATCTATCTCATTCTTCAGTTATATTCTTCAAATCCATCCCCCTAATACAAAACATCATCACCACCATCATCCCTACAAAAATACTTATCCCCCGTCCCCCAGACCCTCCACCAGCATGCGCTCCTTCTTCTCGCGATCCCCCGATCTCGAAGGCGGTCAAAGTCGCGGCATTTACAAAAAAGGGTTCACCGGCGACCATCGCGGACGCTCCCACATCCCCCCTAACCCCTCTCCCCTCTTCTCTCCCCAATCGCAACACTCACCCTTCAGCATCCCCTCGGCATCCTACAGACACGATACGATTTTCCGACCACCTCCGAGTCCGAGTCCCAAGAGCGTCACTTTTAGTGAGCGATCGTGGAGTGCGCTTTCGGGTCCGGGGAATGGGAATGTTTTTGCGAATACCAATGGTGCGAGCGCTGCACATTTGGGGAATTCGCGAGGAGGGGAAAAGATATATTTGGATCGGGATCGGGATCGGGATCGGGATCTGAATCTGGGTCATTTGGATCAGGAGCAACTTTCTCGTCTGCATGAATATCTGGGTGTTCTTCCTGCGAGAGGAACGGGAGTCGGAGTCGGAAGAGAGATTCCTCGGAGTGGAAGAAGAGGGTTTAGTATGAGTGATCCGAATGATCGGGATCGGTCTCTTCATATTTCTCCTACTTCTGTACCTACAGCTATACCGCCTCCCCCCCTCTCTCCACACTCCCGACTCAAGAAAAATCTCAAGCAGAAGGTTGCTGAACATCAGTTTCGGCGGAATAGAGATGGGAGTGCGGGGTGTAGTTGTGAGTATGATGTGCTGCTGGGAGATGAAGAGAAGGAGGTGCATTATCGAACGCGGATTTTTCGAGAGGCGCTGAGGAATGCGTTGGGTGTTCAGAGGGAAATGGGATTGGAGGGGGTGGGGAGTGGGGGGGAGGAGAAGGATGGAGAGGGAGAGGGAGAGGGAAAGAAACCGGTGATGCAGAGGAGAGGGGCAAGTGAGGGGGTGAGAGAAGGTGGATTCACGGGACCGATGAGGATGGAGAGGAAAGAGGAAGTGGCGCCGAGGGATTTGGGGGAGTTTTTGGAGAAATATGATCCCAGGCCGGAGGATTTACCGGATGTGTGAGTTTTGCTTCCTTTCTTTGGGGTGGAAGATGTGATGGAATGGGTGGAAGATGAGATGTGGGAAGGAGATGTGGGCAGTAGATACTAATAAGAAAATAGATACCCAATGGGTGAACATAGAGCAATGCTGCGAACAATGTATTTGGAGGACATTTTGCACGCGACGGCGAAATTGCATATGCATAATTGGATTTTGTTGAGTCGGAATGAGAAGTATGAGGATTGTAGGTTGGCTTTATGTTGCTTATTTCACTTTGGATTTTCTTTTTTTAATGAAGTTTGGAATTTGGAGTTTGGAGTTTGGAGCTGGAAGTTTGAATCATAAGCTAACGAAAAAATCAAAGTACGTATTCCCGCCCGCTGGGACCAAATTCAAGAAGATCTCGAAAAATATAGTACGTCTCCCTCACCCCTCACCCTCTCACCCACCCGCAATCTCCATCCCACTAATCTCCTCTCCTCCCTCCCAGCCCGCTCAATCCGCAACTACACCTACTGGCTCAGCTCACCAATTCCCCTCCTCGATCTCCCTAAATCATCTCTTCCCCCCCGTTTCCATCTCTACGGCAAACAACTCGCGATTCTCGAATGTGCGCGCGCGTGGAATCATCCGCGCGAAGTGGGGTTGGTCAATGAGTTGGAGAGGAAGCTGGTCGCGTATCAGACGGATTGGAGTGTGAGTAATGGGGTCTGGAGGGGTGTGAGGAGAGAGGCGAGGAGGAGGGGGTGGAGGGGAGGGAAGGGGAGGGGGTTGGGGAGATTTGTGGGGGGAGTTGTGGGTGAGTTTTCTTTTTTTGGGGGCGGGGGGATGGGGGTTGCATCTATATTCTACAATCTAACATCTAACATCTAACATCTAAAATCTACTCTCTACCAAATCAAAACACCACCACTAAATCTCTACTAACTACCCTCTCCCTACAGGCGGAAGCAGTATCCTAACCCCCATCAGCATCCTCATTCTCTGGCCCGGCGGCATCTCCAAAACCGGCGGTGTGGGAATCATCGGAGTCAGCGTGGCGATTATGGGCATCATACTCGTGTGGATGATCCATGGAGGAGGAGAGCAAAAAAGTGGATGGGAAGGGATTGAAGGGGAGAGAGATGGAGATGGGAGAGGGGGCATTTGGGGAGGAGAGTGGGGATTGAAAGATGTCATGCTGGTTTTGGGAGCGTATGCGGGGGTTTTGGGGATGTTTTTGGGGGTCGCGGTTGTGTAGTTTTGGTTGGATTTTTGGTTTGGGGAGAGGGGGGGGAGGGGAAAGGGGAAAGGGGAGAGAGGAGAAGAGGGGAGACGGAATAGATGGGTTTCGATTATGGTGAATTTTGTGGGTGTGATGTGATGGTGTGTGCTGTGATGTGATGTGATGCTTTTGTCTGTCGTGCTGTGTACCTACTATCCACAACATCCCGGTGTACCTAAATAAATCGCAAATCGAAATCCTGAATCCTGAATCATGAATTGTGCATCACGATGTGTGTAATTACATGTACCCCCTTAACTAATAAGCTGACATTATCGTGATACTACGGGATTTTTATTATCAAGTATCTATGTATCTATACGAAGATGTGTACAGATAGATTTGTATTATTCGCTGATTCGCTGATTCGACAATTGGCTAATTGGCTATCCCGAGAAGGTGTAATTGGGAATGGAATTGGGAATGGAATAGGGAGTGGAATAGGGAGTGGAATAGGGAGTGGAATAGGGAGTGGAATAGGGAGTGGAATAGGGAGTGGAATAGGGAGTGGAATAGGGAGTGGAATAGAGAATGGAATAGAGAATGGAATAGAGAATGGAATAGAGAATGGAATAGAGAATGGAATAGAGAATGGAATAGATTGTATAATAACTATCTGTTTAAGGCTATCTAACTGGCCGGGGTATATGAATATGAGGAAGTAGATAAGTGAAGTATCTTGGTATTAATGACTGGTTTGTGAAATCGATTTGTTGTATGGGGAGTGAATGGGATGGGAGAGGATGATGGAGGGATGAAATAGGCATCTAATTGTACTTTCTTTTACTTTCTAAATAATGAGATGTATAATTATATATATCTATTTTAGATTAATCGATAGATAGAGTGAGATTCAAAGTAATAATATAATTAAGACAATAAAAAGTGTCGAGTTCTAAAGAGAATGAGAAGAAACTGAGGATGAAATGGAAAGAGCAGGATTTCGGAGATTGAAAGATTATTAGAAATGTAGAAGATTGGGAAATTATATTGATATAGAACTGATGTCTGTCTGATGTATACTGTACTCGATTATCTAGAGGGAGATAGCTCATTATTAAAAAAGACGCTTCGACGCTTTGGTTCTTAGAGTAGATAGGAAATCATGACGTTGTGCTTCGGTAAAAGTCTCTAGAACTGGTATTCTTGATGAGAACATAGGAAGGTTATTCTGAGATTGTAAAGAGAGTTGTAAGTAAGCGACGATGAAGGAGTATATAGCTTTGATTTGAATAAGTTAAATGTAAATAAATTATAGAATCATGTGAGTTATAGATATTATATAAGAAGGTAGTATGATGAGGATAAATTTTTTTTTTTTTTTGGATTAACTTAGATATGATACGTGTTGAGATATCAGACTTGTTTACAAACTGCACTGTTGAAGTACTCGAGTTAAACTCGAAATGAAAAGAGTAAAAACAATGACAATTTAAACCATTTCAAATGCTCAAGTTGATTAACACTAGAAGAGAATGCTCAAGAAGTAATAGGGATCGATAAATGCTACATCCAAACAAAAGACCCAAGAAAAAAACCTCGTAATGTTGAATCTCGAATTAACATGATGTATGTGCTCGAAACATTCAATATGACTGAGAGATCAGATGGTATATAATCATTTCAATCAATTTAAAGAGAGCTTGAGACGTTTAGTCTTCTGGCCTATTATATGCCTAGCAAAGATTAGTACCGACTTTATCCTATGAATTCACGGTCGCAAATTAGCGATAGTAACTTACAGCACAGAACGTCTTCGATAGACCGGCACAACCAATTGTTAATTAGCCGAATATGGAGGAGGAGGAGTTTCAATGGAAACTGTAGATGGACTAGGAGCATTCGATCGTCTAGCTTGTTGACGTTGACATTGACGTTGACATTGACGTTGACATTGACGTTGACGTTGACGTTGCGAGTCAACAGCTTGTCGGTATAATCTTTGAAGGGAAAGATGTAAATGATGTATGCGACGAGTGTTTATCGCGACACATTGACCACACGCTATCTCAGCTTGAAGTTGACCAAACAACTTTTGGCCATTCAAGAGCTTAGATCTGATCTCAGCGGGAGCGGTACGAATAATTGATTCCTGAATCTGCATTTTGCGGATTGCATTGTATAGTTGTTTTCGAACCATCGTTTGTTGATCATCGAGAAATTTGACATGTTTAACGAACAGAGCATTCCTCTTCATCACATCTGTCATTGTAGTTCCGGCAGGTAAAGGTTTGTTCATCATATCATGATGATAATTTTTCAGTTCGAACTTTTCGAGATCAAGTAGATTAAGGCGGAGATGAAGACGTGGAAGTGAAGATATTGGTGTTTTCGTGATATGATTAATCAGATGTTGTCGATATGCAGTAATAGTAAGAGAAGCTGGAATTAATGTTAGCAAAATCACGATACAAGTCGAGAAGACAATGTGGTCATTATTACCTTGAGTTGTATTTGTTTCTAGAGAAGATAATAATATATCAGGAGTCGACATGTTCGTATAAAACAAGTAGTAAGTTATGATTTTTATTATTGAAATATGTATATATATATATATATATTCGAAGACTGGATTTTATAAATAAAGAAGAAAAGAAAAAGGAAAGAAAGAAGAGAGAAATAGATCAGGTATTTATACTCGAAAAATTTTAAAAAAAAATCTCTATTAGTAATGATTATTAATATTTCATAAGATTATTTCTAGAAAAAGCTAAAAAAGAAAACTTTTAATCTTATAAATTTTATAAAACCTATCTCTATTATCTTGAAAATAATTTTCAATACTTTTAAATGATATTTTATTATATTATAAGATTTAATTAATATGAAAATTGGTTTTCTATTCTAAATTATAATAAAATATTTATTCTTCTTAATAGAATATTGAATAGTTTTAAGAAATTACATATTATAGATTTTCTTTAATTAATTTTTATTTTTCTAAGGAATAATTTTAAATAATTTTAAGAAATTTCTTTTTAATAATTTTAAGTAATTCAATATTATAAACTTATAATAAAAGAGATAAGTCTATATGAACTTAATTAGTCTAAGGCTATTAGTAATATCACTTTTAGTATAATAAAACTATTATAAGAATAGACTTATAATAATAAAAGTACTCTAATATTAATTGTATTATTATTATATATTAAAAGTAAATAGTTTTCATAGTATTAATACTATGATCTAAGTAATACTAGCGTTGATTCGTAAGGTAATTATACTTTATAAAGGACATAACTATATTCTAGCTCTCTTTAATTAAATAATTATATAATAAACTATATTTCTAATTTTAACTAATTTATTCCTCATTATAATCTATTTTAATAAATTATAAGCCTAGAAATATAAACTAACAAATAAATTCCTAAATTTATAAAATCTCTATCGTTCTTAGTTTATTCATATTAAACTTTTAACAATATGATATCATATAATAAAATTCTGAAATGTCTTTTATACCTGACTTATAAACTAGCCGTTAGGGAAAAAGAAATTTTCAGACTTGGAATTTGTAGAATTTCTTTTTTTCTTATTAATTATTATAATAATTTTAAAACCCTAGGAATTCATAGACTTTAATTTCTTTTTCTGAAACAATTAATATTAATATAATAATAATATTAATATCAGGGAGCGACCACCTGACAGGGTTTATATAGTAGATCCACTATTTCGAACATATTCGAAATACTTTACGCTTTTATAGGTTAGTAGTAAAGTATATTAATTCTAATTTTATATTTTGAATACAAGGGTGTCTTATTCTAAGCTTTTTATTTACAAAGCAAATTTGAACGAGGGTGATTATACTTTGAATATAATCTCGATGATTGGTTTAGCTATAGTTATATATACTTCTAGCTATTTCTATATTTATAGAGATCTATATTTATAAGGAGCTAGCTCCTTCCTGATTGATACATACCGAGTGGGTCCGTATAAAACGGGGATGAGTATCAGGGAGCAACCACTTGATAGGGTTTATATAGTAGATTCACTATTCCAAATATATTCAGAACACTCTATACTTCTATAGGTTAATAATAAAGTAAATCAATCCTAATAATTAATACTTCTAATACTTCTAATACTTTTAAATCTTTAATATTTTTAATATTAAAAATATTAATATTTCTAATACTTTTAAATTTCTAATATTTTTAATATTAAAAATTGTTGGGACAGGAATCATGTGACCACGCTAGCGCATGCGCTAGCGCC